CTTTGTTCCAAATCAACTAACGAAGCCATGATATCATTAGGGATAGGACCCTCACCCACTTTGAATTCTGTACCCACTAGTGTGTTTCATACATGTCTGTCTATCACTTCACACAGTTTGATTATCCAGACCGAACGTACGACACATACATGCAAACCGACAGACGTGTGCTTATTTTATCATGTGACTACACCATTCTTTTAGGTGCGAATGGGCAATAAGAATTTTCGGACATGCAGACACACGCACACCGCTCACTTGTATGACTTCAACGACACGAGTTCTCTTGTGACCTCCATTGTCCGTTGGTTGACCTATGTTCCGTCTACCCGTGTTGTGTACCGGTTCGGCGTTTATTATTAATCGATTATTTAACCACCTACGCACATGTGACCTTGGGAGTCACTTGTTCATGTACACACATACGCACACATACATGCACGCACGCCTGTTCTTGTTTGTTAAGAAGTCGAATTGTGTGCACCCAACTCTTTTATGTTTGGCTTATCTTTTGGGAGCTTCATGTCACCACCTGACTGGACTTATTTTGTTTGACTCCGTAAACTTCGATCATATTCTCTCTTTGACACAGCGTTGAGCTGTCCCCTTTTGAAGTACCTTGATTGTAAGGTGTATTTCGACACAGTCGAGCGCTGTCATATTTCTGTTTGATGCACTTATATCTGGAAGTGCCTTGACGGCTGTCCTACCCCAGATACCTCACGAATCACGGTTTGTATATAATTTATCTTGTCATTAATTAATGCGCATTAATGGTACTGTATCACGAGACAGTCTTGGTTTTTATTGCATCGGAACCGGGACCTTGCGTGTCACTTGTCGCCAGGTTTAACACTGGAAGGCAGTCCATTATAACTCCGCAGAAAAGGAATTAATAGTACTTGATCCTGGCCCATTATTGAATCCCACATTTGTATAATCTCATCATTATTCACTATCCGGGAACATTGGCGTTATGCAATACTTTGAACATCCTGTCCTTAAGGTGCGAGAATCAAATGCAATGATGGTCGACGGACGAAGGGCGTGTCAATCGCCCAAACAGTTCCATGCGAGGCACAATGATGCGAACTATATCAATCACACAATTTTCCCTCAGGTGAATCCTCCCTTACCTGATTGTGAATCAATTATTGATGTTTGCAATAACTAGATAGCCTATAGGGAAATAAGCGTTATCCCTAGCAGGCACACTAGGTTTGATCGCTCTCGTTCAGAGGCCATCAGAGAAATTTACTGGAGGAAATTGAGTTGGAGTTACGTCAATTGGAATTAAGGAAGAAGAGTTTGGCAATCGGAAGAGAATTGGCTTTCGAGAGGTTGGCCGCTAAAGAAACCTTGAAGCCGAAAATTCTAACCGATGATTCCAGACACTCCAATTCTATTCCACCGGTTGAGTAAATTTCGTTTACGAACTCAATAACCGCTGTCGGTAACGATGGCATAAACCGCGTCACGCAGTCGGATATGTTGGGAGAGCCTATGCGCTGTTCACCTTACTCTCTACGATTGATTCTCGCTAGTACGATAACTGAGAAGTTGTCGGAAGTGGATTCTGTCGGTCTAGGTCCGCACCAGGCTCATGATATGGCTGGGGACGCTGATACCAACAAGCCTGATGGCCAATGGACGCTACGCGACACGGTAGAACCTGCAAAAACAGCATCCGAGTGTCCGTTGACCCTCGTACATTAACTGCAAAGGTTCTGTCCACGACACCACTTAATGAAAGAGTCACTCCGTTGAAAAGCGTCACAATCCTCCGTGTGGAGCTGCAAGCACCAGTGTTATCCATCAGATTGTGTCGACTTAAAACGAAGAGAATGAGGCTCGATTAAGGCATAAGCCAACACTGGACTGCTTCTACCTTGATTCTACACTATATGGGAAATACAGAAAAACCGTTCAGGAAAAGATGGCAACCGATCAGAATCCGCAAAGCAAAGAAAGCAAAAAAAAAATGAAAGCACGGAGCGAATGATCAAGGCGAGACATCACGCCTGTAGTAAATGAGGTGGATGAACCTGTCGATCAAGAACGCAAGCGGGTTTATTTAGAGGAATACCCGTGAGGATGCCTGCTAGAGGGAGCTGGTGAGCGTTGGAAGCCCCGAAGTTCTAGGCACACTCGAGTTACCTGCCGGAACGATTGTGGCAACAGTAAATTGTACCATTTTCGTTCCTACTTATTTCCCTGTGCAGCGTGTGGGGTGGGTAGTAAAAAAAGCCATCCTGGCTTTAGTGCGGGAGTGCTGATTCTTCTCCCCAGAATCCTTTTGTATTCTTTCGTCTCATTGCCTACTCTATCGCTTCTTATTTGTCCCGTTAATAATCGTTTCGATCTGACTACCGATTTAACACCGGGAGGCAATCCATTTTAATTCCACATAAAGGGAATTCACACTGATATTTGCCCCCATGTCAGCTGAAGTAGAAGCTGCAGCTTCAGGGTCCCTTGAGAGGCGTAAGTGAGACATCGTGGATGTGTCTGATCGGGACATCAATCGATTGGTGGAGCTGAATTTTTGAATGTGAGTTTCTAGAATACATCACACGTTGATGACTTGAATCTCGAGGGTACGAACTAAACATGCCTGTTGTCCTATTCGCATCAGAGTACGCAATTTATTTGTGGCTAATTTGAAAGGAAATCGAGGACGAAGAGTAGATTCAATCGCGGGGAGAGAATTTGGTGAGACTTGAACGCGATTGCGAGGCAGGATGCGAGGGAATTGGGTCAGGATCCCGTTTTTGAGTTACAACTGTTGGTCCGATCATCTGAAGACCCCGATGGAATTGGAGATATTTGAGGGAGATGAATTTGAGATGGAAGAAAAATAGGAAACTGGAAGGTTTGCACGATGTAGAACGCTTTTGTCTGAAAGACGAAAGCTCCGGGGGTAAATTCTTAGATTAGTAGAAGTGATTGATACGAGCGGAGCCAGCGGTTTGCACGAAGTTACTCATACCAGTTCTCAATGAACCAACTGAGAATATCTAAAGATTTATCATCAGAAGTTGACTGAGTGTACCATGGAACGCATGGCGATAAAACCAAATAGAAGCTGGGTGTAGTGAAATGCCACAAAAGAGAGTCAAATAATAAACAGAGGGATTTCGATCAATCAATCGATTCAGTTAGATTTCCTTCTAGTTCGATCCGAACGGTAACAGTCACGCGGCTACGAAACAAACGGCGACCGCATGACTTATTGGCTTCGGACCTGAGTAATTATTCCAATCAAGGTGATACACTTGTCTTACACCGCACTGTGTTCAACTGATTGTCCACAGTTTCAGATCCATCAAGTGTTTGTTCATGTGCGAATCAACCCAGCATTTCTCAGAAGCATTGAGAACATGAATTTGAATAAATAGAATGAGTTCATCTGTGCCACATGGTTTATGCAACTCGGGACGGGAGTGTCACATGCAGAGATGATTTACCGTGGGTCCGTATTCTCGAAGTCCGGATGCATCTGTGATAGCACATTGATTAATGAAGCAGTAATAATGAGGATACACCTCATGCTCTATTCTAGACAAAATAATTGATAATATCTGCGATTTAGTACCACATACTTTCATATGCCACGTGATTCAAAAATATCGACAGTACACCCACGCAAGGCGGGGTAAGGTAACTAGTTAAAAACGACAAAGATCCGTTCTCATCTCTCAGTAGAGCACACGAATAGTCCGAAGTCGGTTTTATTCACGATTTCGTCAACCGTGGTGAACAATGCGCGTGTATGTCGAGCGCTTTGGAAGTGATCGACGAGAGGCTCATGTCGCAGCGAATGCAACGGTGGCAGACTTGGGCAATGAAGTGAGAAAATTGTGGCAAGTTCCTCCCACACATCAAGTACACGTGATCGCCGGTGATATAGCGATGAATCCGTCAGATCGCCTATCGTTCTACGGTATCACAGATGGATCAGTCCTAAACGTTGATTTCACATCTTCCGATTGATTGTATTTGGTCACAATCTTCTGTATTATAAATGCAATTTCACCAAGTTGAATTTTTATTGATTCCTTTTTACTGGAACCAGATACCTCAAGGGTATGGGGGAGAAAGGAATTGTACCACATGATAATTTTCAGTGCATGCAGACCGATGTTAGCAAACAGCACTTCCCTGATATATTGGGCTCCATCAATCCGTTTCGCAAAGAAGGGGAAATCACACATGTTACGAAGTGTAGAGATGCTCATGATCATTTTATTTCGCCAATGAGTTCTTGTCGAAATCTTAAATTATTATCGAGATCTACCTGACAACTTGGTCAAAGTTGGTGAGAGCAACAGTTGATATAAAATCTGTGTTTGACAATACACGATAAATGATAAAAACCCTATATTGCTTGACAAATATCTTACGGTCTTTGCCTGCAATTCGAAAATTTCTCCAATCAAACCGTAGATATGACCAGCGATTGAAAGCTCTTAATATCTTTGAATGTATGCTACGCAAGCCATAGGAATACCCATTATCTGCCAACATACACAGGTGCATACGTCCAGAAGAAAAGGAAACTGATTCATAAATGGATGTGCCACGTCAGGAATTGAAATTCGAAACTGCACGTAAGCAAGTGAGCCAAGTAGAAACTCGAGTCCCATTTTGGAAACTTGTCATTATCGATTAGAGGACATGATGGCTACTCCAACCGAATAGGACGGTTGCTTTAAATCACAATTGGTGGATCTCACCGAGCAACATCTCTCTGTCCCGATCCGCCAACATTGCTTATGATCGTCTGTGTGTGTGTGCGAGTTTAGCTCCAACCAATTTCCGAGTACATGACGAAATTGTATGTACAATCACTGAAATAAAGGGAGATATCGACACAGACAACTGTGAGAAATCCGACCTGGTGATTGGGACAACGAGAATTAATTAATTTAGCCTGGCCCAATCCTTCAATATGCTATTGCGTAACTAAGTTCCTAAGCCCTAAGCATTCTCGTAAGCTTCCTTCACCAGGACGCACAGAATTTCCTTCCCCACTTGTGAACAAACGATGTCGATTACCACTTTGCTTGTTTATCGTGCTGTTATTGTCAATAGACCTCTTCCCCTCCAATCCTCAGTTCTACACATTCCATCACTTCTGTATGCACTACATTTCGCCTATGGTCTGTTGATCAAGTGTGTGCAAACAACCATTTTTTACACAGGGTTTTTAATCAGCAATGTGAATTTCCCTCAATTGAACTAATTCGATCGAACTCACAGAATTTCAGACGAGACATACAATATTACTATCCATCTGAACACCGTTGGATTGACCACACTTTTTCATTCGTCTTCACACATACAAACACAACTTGTTTTTTTGTCACCGCAGCTCTATAGAAGACAAATTCAGTTCAGTTTGTACAACCATGAACCGTGCACTATCGTACGCCCGTTTTCGTTGCTATCTTTCGACAAAAGATAATGCGAAGTTATTTTTATGACAAAACAAATTCGTAAATCACTTAACATTTTGGGGCTAATTGTTTGAAAGCCTCAAATCAATGAAATCGATTTTCGCATCTCTTTGTTCCAAATCAACTAACGAAGCCATGATATCATTAGGGATAGGACCCTCACCCACTTTGAATTCTGTACCCACTAGTGTGTTTCATACATGTCTGTCTATCACTTCACACAGTTTGATTATCCAGACCGAACGTACGACACATACATGCAAACCGACAGACGTGTGCTTATTTTATCATGTGACTACACCATTCTTTTAGGTGCGAATGTGTAACGAGAAGTTTAGTTCTGGCAACGCTGACCAGCGGAATGAAAGTGGTTTTGGTACATCGTGGAACAGACAAGCGAGAAGCGCACGTGGATCAAAATGCAACAGTGGAAGAGCTTCGTGTGGAAGCGAGGAAATTGTGGAATCTTGCACCTGATTCTGGAGTTCACATCATAGCCGGAGATATAGCCCTTACTCCATATCATCCACTCAGTTTATACGGAATCCGAGATGGATCGATTTTAAAAGTTTCTTTCTAATTGCGTTACAGCGGAACTTCTGACCTATAAACGTGATTACATTCAATCTTGCTGTAATCCACCGAGTAATAAACAATTGTCTAAAACATGTGTTTCATTGATTTCACTCATTTTGATAGTGGAGGTTGGAGTTACTGGGAGAAGAGCAAAGGTGTTATTTTGTGCATGGTATCCCGATATTATTGTTATTATTTGTCCGTTATGTAATGTACCCTTATTTAGGGTGTCATTTTCACGGCGTATTCAAGTTTGAAGGGAGCTCGTTCACTGAGATGACCATCATGATGAGAACTCCTGTGAGGATGAATCGNTTATTATTATTATTATTACGGAAACACAATCCAAGAGTACAATCGACCAAATTCGAATTGCAATTATGGAATCTACGATCGATACAAGACTAACATCGCGAAACCAACGCGAACGGCGGGACGAAAACAGTTGAATACAGCAACCGACTGATTCTGCTAATCTAGCCTAAACGCACCGTCTAGGCAAAAAGAGCAGCTGTTGGTGGCAGAAGTAATATTGAATTTGGTTCTATAAATAATTATCATTATTTATATTGAAAATAAGCACTCACGACTAGATTGACATGTCGATTCAACTAGCGCGTCAAGGTCAGAATGAAGATAAACAGTGATAGAGGGCAAAAGCTCAATTAAACGGACATAGAAAACGAGCGAAAGTATATGAATGAAACGTTTTGTATGATACGCTACTGGTTGCCAGATAGTGTGTCGCATAAAAGGATAAGGGTAACATTTTGAATGCAAAAGGATTCTCGAAATCTTTTATATTGATGAAGAGGAGGAGGATCACGATGATAACGACGCTTCTCCTCCTTATGAAAAACATGGTGATGATAGTGATGATGATAATGATGATGAAAATGTTGATGACACTGATGATGACGATGATGATGATAATAATGATGATGATAATGATAATGATGATGATGATGATGAAGATGAATATGATGATGATGATGTTGATGATGATGATGATGATGATGATGATTGTTCGTGAATAAGGTGAATTTTTCATCATGACTGTTTGCCTACCTATTAACCATTTCAGTAGCGTAAATACTCAACCCACAATGTTACACTCCTATCTCTCCTGGTTCATCGTTCTGCTGATACTACGCACATTCCAACCACCCGAATATTGTGTCATTTATCCATCACATTTTACCTTTAGATATCCTTTATTTCTTACCCAGTAATAAATGTAATTTCACGCCGCATAAGAACACTGCACACCTGTTTATATCACTCGATTTTCAGATGCCTTCCAACGCTGACATTTTGAAGACACGATAGACCAGCGTGGACAGATCGTAAAATACGCTTACGCTTTAGAATCGCTTGCTTGGTTGTACGTCAATATTTCGTTATTGATAATTGAACATGCTTTATAGAAACGTGTCTGACGAATTTTGGTTGTTGATTCTGCATCCTGTATCCGTTGGGAAGCGAAGTGAGCGAAGTAACAAATCGAATTTAGGAAGCCAATTCGGATCTAATTGTGGTGATCCAGGCCTACACGATGGCGCCTACCCTGGAGCGGCGCGTTACAGTTTCAGGACATTGGCGATCACTCAAGTTTGAATGCTGACGTTAATGGCACGTGCATGGCTTCTGATCACGTCATTGGCGGATGGTGCCAGCCAATCCAAGACAATGCAGACAGAAGCAAGATTATGAAAGTGGATGGTGCCAGCCAATCCAAGACAATGCAGACAGAAGCAAGATTATGCAAGCAGTACCGCAATCCAATTGGTGGAAGCCCAGATAGCCAATAATCTCTCTTTTTACATATTATTTAATCACCTTCATTTCTTCCAATAAACGAACTACTTACTTCCAGTCCTATGGCCTTTTCCTCGCGTCTCGTTCTCGTGAGACATTGTGAATCCGTGCCATTGTGGTACAGTGCTTCTGAGATCCAGTCCGTGATAGCAGATTATCGATTCGGGTCCTGTNGCTGGTGTTCCGAATTCCGTGCGTACTACTACTGCCAATATAATCATTACACTAAGCCAACAAGAACGCTTAAGAACATATTTGAAAGGAGTTGATTAAGGACGACCGAATATTGACTACAATGCTGCTGCTGCTGCTGATGATGATGATTCCAGTGATAATGATGATGATGATGAGTCGGAGGATTCGGATGATGATGATGATGATGATGATGATAATGATGATGATGGTGATGATGTTTCGGCTGATAATGATGATGATTCGGATGATGATGATGATGATGATAATAGTGATGACATGGATGACGAGTATGACTCGAATGATGATCAGGATGGCACATTATTAATGAAGTATATCACTCACACTTACGTGTTCGGTTTTTCTTAGCATATATCCATAAAAAAGAGAGTCAATAACGCTTCGGCGATATCTATAGCACGCTCGTGGTAGTCTCAGTTAATTTTACCATCAGTATTGCTAAATGAGAATTCACGATATGCTCTGTACTGGCTGTCATTTGATTCAAAGATGAGCAAACGCTGTTTGCTTTCACTTCGAGTCGTTGGTTTTATAAACAGAACATTTGTGTTGGACGTTCATAAGTGTCGCTTGTGATGAATAGTGAAAGTTTTGATTACGTTTTGTAAAAGAACCAAATGCTCGATTGAGTTGGACATTTCAGTTTCACTGTTCTGGCAATAAATGTTCTTAGAAGTGAATCACTTACGAAAGAATTGTAGCGATCAAAGGAAGGCTGGATTTTTCTGCTCGTGTTACAAGCATTCAATTTTTGATGACAACGTTTAGCTTGTCGACTCTATTAGGTCATACCGTGTGTTTCTATGTATGCATTCAATATCTTCTAGCCATCTGTGGGCTCATATCTTGTTTCAATCTGGGTACAATGTCCGTCATCCATCTACCCACCATCTGTAATCCATTTCCATTTCATGACCTATTCACCAT